ATGTTGTTAGCTCCTTAGAAACATACTAGCTGTTTTGTTTCATTCACAAATGTTTTGAGAAATGTTATTATTATTAGTGTCTCTACATCTCTAAAGCTCAAAGTGCTCTGTTCCACCTTGTGATGTCATGTAGTGGTAGTTTTCAGTGTTCACAGCTACGTTTACCTTAGACGCCATTTACACTGAAACAAATCCGTGTATCACCGTATTATCATATCAGAAACGATCTGCGTAGTTTCTGTGGCCGCAATCCTTCTCTATCCACACAGCTTTGAGCATATTTGTTTACATTTTACTGAAACAAAACTTAAAACCGCTTGGCTAATTTGCATAAACTGTGCACTCAAAACAGCGCACTATTGTGCGCTGATGCGGTTCAGCTTCTGTCAGACTAAAGGACATAAATCAGTGGATTATATGTGTTCTTTCTCGGACAGAGGGATGTTCAGCTAATGGTGAGTCTGTTCTGTGCTTCTATCGTGTTGGAGATTGTTCATGTGAAACTTTTGAGAGATTATACGTCTGCAGTTCATACACATAGACCTTATATATGAATATATGCTAGCCTCTTAGCATTTTGGCGGTGAATTAGCTACTTCACGGTGCATAGAACTACATCAGCGTATCAGCGTTTTCAGGCGTCCACAAAGAGCCGGATCAGATTCGTACTCAGATTAATTCGTGGGAGCTGGCGGCACCAGATCGTTCCGTCTCTGGAGCCGTTTTCGATAGGATTAGTTTGGAAGAACACTGCATCCTCAACAAAAATGATTCAAAGACATACTAGTGTGGACGAGGCATTAAGTTCAGTAGAAATTGACAATCCTAGTACTAAAAGTATCCAAATAATTCTAGAAAGATGTATAGACTTTAAAAACACAGGAGAGCACTTCCTGTGTTACTACATGACATCACAAGGTGGAACAGAGTGTTTTCGGTTTGAGACAAGAACTCGACCTAAATATGCAGAGTTTGTGTGTTAAACATGTGTGAATGAAATAAAACTTGACTACAGGTACATTTCTGATGAAGAAACATTATAACATAGTTCAGCAGAAATATGGTCTCTTTAAGGACTGTTTTCATAGATTGAACCCACGTGCTGCTTCACCTGGAATGTTCCACAGCATGGCATTAAACCTTAATCTTATCTCCAAGTAAATAAGCAGGCGATGCCACCAGGCCAAGTTACAGGTCAGATCTGTGGAGACTAGACAAGTCCACTCACACAAGAATGCATGTTTATAGTTTTGTTCCAATAAAACCATCTGTAATGAAATAAATGCAAGATAAATGCCATACTGTGGAACATTCTACAGGCAAAGCAATAACATCTCCATGGAAACAAGCAGGCGATGCCACAATGGCAAGTTACAGGTTAGATCTGTCGAGAGGCAAGCCCGCAAGCATGCGTCTTTGTAGTTTTGTTCCAGTAAAAATATGTGTAACAAAGTAAATGCAAGATAACCTTAATGCCATATTGTGAATCACTCTAGACAAAGCAACCACTTCTCCAAGGAGAAAAGCAGCTGGCAGACAAATGGTGCCTGACAGATTATTGCTTTCAAATTGTCCATAATTTCCCTAAAATTGCAAGTGAGGCCCACGCAGACCTCCATACACATCTGCTATACCTTATCCAACATCTAGAGTTTGACAGTGAATGCAAATACTGTTTTCTTTTAACTGACTCACAATAAAATAATAGTTGGCAGCGCATTTAGAGCCTGTGTTTCTCCTTGTCCTGGACTTTTCACTGTGAAGACTGCGGCTGAATGGTTGTTCAAAGGGCTCCTTGAAGTACTGACACTTTGTTTTGAGGAAATGTCGTGAACAGAGGAATATCGTCACGCCTCATCATTTATTTATCTCAAAACACAAGTCGGATATGCCGTTTGACTGTCAGCCACTTCAAAGCTCCCAGGCTGCAAATGGATGGAGAAAGGTGGTTTAAAATATGCTTATCTCAGCTCATTAGCCTGTTTAATTTGTGCGGTTAACTCAAAGGGGCCCAGATTATGCTATTTTCAGATCTAACTTATACTGCTGTTTCCCTATTATAAACATACCTGGAGTTGTTTTGTTTCATTCACATATGTTTAACACAAAATCCCTGCATATTTAGGCTGAATCCCATTGCACCCCGTGGTAGAGCTAGATACCCCTCCAAACGAAGATTTTTCAGAGGCACACTCCAAACGCAGGGGTATGAGCAATATCCCAGAATGCCTTGCGAATCACCGGCAACATGGCTGCTACCATGACCGGAGACCAAAGAAGTTCACAAATTGTAGACGATATGTTGGGTTTTTGACAAAAGCTTGTTGCGTCTGCTTACATAAAATCTGGCAGAGACTACTGATGACGTATGTGATTGTTAAAGAGGTGTCCCACTTCATAGGGGTTTACTTTCAACCCCTACCTCTTGGTGCTCAATTTCAAGGGGCAAGGGGTAGGGGAAGTAGCCTGATTCATCAGCTGGTTTCACTTCATTTCACATTGCAGAAACTGTCTGACCTCGCAATTTGAGCTTTTTATCATTTAAACCAATCGCTGCTATTTGGTAGTCACCTATGTAATGTGCCGCTAATGGGTCTAACTGGTATATTAATCTTTTCCCAACTCCCATAGGAAGAAGGCCAATAACGTCTTTCGCCTTGATGAAATTCACCAAACATTCTCTTTATTCCGACTTTAAATCCTCGATCTCACTCTTCACTGATTGGCTGGTGCCCGAACTTGCACTTGCGGGGTTTTTGCAAAAGGTCTATTGTATTTTGATTCCTGATCTAGTCGCTGGAGAGAAATGAAATTGAGCGGAGGCACTAGGTGGCGCCAGCCTGGCTATAGGGGAAGGGGTAGGGGTAGAAATGAGGAATGGGATTGGCCCTTAGGCAGAGGTCTTCTCTCAAAAAGAAAACACTCTGTTCCACCTTGTGACGTCTTGTGTCAATACAGAAAGTGCTCCACTGTGTTTTTAAACTCCATACACCTTCACTAGAAACATTTGGATCATTTCAGCTGTTAACTTGAAAACTGCTGCTCCATGTCACAAGGTGGAACAGAGCATTTTGAGCTTTGGAGATGTAGAAACGATGTAGAAATGTGAGTGACACGAAACACAACTCCAGGTATGTTTTTGATGAAGTCACAACATTATAACATGGCTTAAAGCTCACAAGAGTCAATTTTATTTAATACAGTTCTTTTAAAGGTACACTGTGTACATTTTCTATCTGTTAATCCCACAGAGACAGGTTATTTTTGTGCCTATATACGTTCCACAGTATGGCATTTAACATAACTTTCAAGCATTTATTCTATTATGGATGGTTTAACTGACACAAAATAAACACAATTTCTCACCAAGAGCAGACTCGCCTCTCACACAGATCTGATCTGTAACGTTGCCCTGATGGCACCACCTGCTTGTCTTCATATAGATAAGTTTAATAAATTCATGTGGAATATTCCAGGTATAATATCATCATGGAGACAAGTAGGTGGCAGACCTTTTATCAGAAAAGTGACATCGTGCAGCATTTGGTTTGATTAAAATTCCTGAGGTTTTTGCTGTGGCTCAGTGGTTGGAGAACGTACCCACCAACCCAAAGGATCACTTCTTGCTCAAATTATGTGTATGAAAGTGGTGTGTGTGTGTCTTAGTTTAACTTTTTTACATTTTACAGAGTAATTTATCCATCAATTAAGTAAACTTTGGCTCCTGTCTTGTTCATTGTACCTCACTGTCAGAGCCCATCTTTTCAGTGCTTTTGTCTCTCTGCTCTGTCACGCTGCCTCATGAGCACATCCATCTTGTTTTGTTTTAACGTTACCTTTGATGTCCGCTTTAAGCCTGGCTTTCCTTCTACTACATCAACCTGCAGATTGTGCTAAAAGAGAAAACTATTGATGAATCCTTAACAACACCGTGACGATTTGATTGGTTTAGATCTGTTTTTTAGACATTTTTGTCATTTTATACCTTTTGTCAATTAATTATTATAAAAGATTTGTCATGCTTGTTCCTCTTTTAGACCCGTTTTCATGTTCTAGTCCTCCATGATTTTTTTGTGAAAAGTTGAGCTGGGATGACTTGAGTCTAGATTTGAAATTATATTTGATTCTAGTAAAGAGCATATATTGTGCTTGAGTTTAGTTATCTATGACTAGGGCTGGGTATCATTAAGAACTTGTTGATACAATACATATCTTGATACAGTGCACTTTCAATTCGATACGATTCAATACGATACATATTTAAAATCGATTCAGTGTGGTTAAATAAAAAATTATGGATAAATCATGGCTGTGATACTAAAAGTCTTTAAACCATTTCTTGTGCAAAGTTGATATGAAAGACATTCATTTTAATCCTCAAAACTGAAAATGTCAAATGTGTCACATAAACGAATTTTCTTCCATACAATAAGCGGCAAAACTGTAGCTGTGTAACAAAACAATTCAATAAAATATACCAAAAAATACTCATGGCGATATATCAATACAGCAGGCCACAATATCGATACAGTGTCATCACATTAAATGATACGATATTTCAATATTTTTGCACACCCCTATCTATAACATGTTATAATTTGCACATTTGAAATTGCAATATTCATCTAAATTGACTTGTACCATTATGACAATGCAGCACTGTCAAATCCTGTTTGTATCACAGATTAAGAAAATAAAACTGGAGCTCAAAGTAAGTACAGAGCAGTGGGTGTATGTCGGTGACACTGCATACGAAGGTTGACCTGTAATTCGGCGTCTTGAAAATAAATTAATCGTGTTTTGTGCTTAATCATGCACAGAACACTCCAAATACAATTTAGAGTGGGTTAATGAGAAGGGGGAACAACTCTAACATGGTTAAAAGCTCCTAAAGTGATTTTTCAGAATAGGTCTGTTTGAAGATATGTTTGAAATTAAAACTCATTCACTTACATTACTCGATCTAAAAAGTGAATTCTATATTTTCTCATGTTTTCCAGGTACTGGCAGGTATGAATGTCCACCCAGCAGAGTTTGACGGACTGAAGCAAGAATATAACGTCAAAGGCTATCCGACCTTCTGCTACTTTGAGTAAGTTTAAAACCTTACTTGTCTGTCTCTCACTCTCTTGCTCGTCATCTTAGCTCTCTGTCTCGTCCACCTTGGCTCTCTCTCTCTGCTTTCTCCCCTCTCACACTCCACAATCCTTGTCTCAACGCTCTTATTCTCGTCTTTCCCCTCTGAAACCATCTTGATCCTCAATCCCACCTGTCTCGCTGTCTCTCTCTTTGTCTCTGTCTGTCTCTCTCTCTCCCCTCTCACCCTCCTCAATCCCTGTCTCAACCCTTTTCCTCTCTTCTCTGCCCTCTCACACCATCTTGATCCTCAATCCCCCCTCTGTCTTTCTGTTCTCCGTCTCTCTCATTGTCCCTCTCTTTGTCTCTCTCCTGCTCTGTCTCTGCCTCTGGCCTTCCTCTCTTTCTCCACCCCCATGTCTCTTTCCCTCCTCTCTTTCTTCCATATCTCTTTATCACATCCAAAGCTTCGCCTACATCAGAGCCCGGGCACTTCAAACATAAGGCAGTCTGGGTTGGACCTGGCCAGACGGGACTTTAAGCAGCACAAGTGGCTCTCACAAGGTTCACATCAGGTGGAAGGTGAAACAAACTTTAAGATAAGATTTGTGAGTGTTCAAAGAAGAGGCAAGGACTTTGGGTTTGACCTGGGGACAGAATATAAAATCTAACTATACTCTTGAGTTTGTTAGATGAAGTTAAAGGTATATAGCCTTCTTGCTCTTTTAAAAATCCTATATTATGCAAAATTTACTCTGATGAGCTTTGAGTCGTGTTATAATGTTGTTATCTCATCATAAACAACATCATCATAGTACTTGGAGTTGTGTTATGGGTTGCCGGTGTCTTTAACAAAAACAAGTGTTTTTCATTCTCAGTACACTACCAGTCAAAAGTTTTAGAACACCCTAATTTTTCCAGTTATTTATTGCAATTCAAGTCATGCAAGTCTAATGAAGAGCTTGAAATGGTACAAAGGTAAGAACTGAACAGCCACAAGTTAAAAAAAAATAACGAAATACAAGTCCAGGCTGTGCCAAAACTACCTTAGGAAAAAAGAACAAGATGGTAAACTTGAAAACATGAAGTGTCCGGCACAGTCTCCAGACTTAAACCCCATCGAGCTGGTTTGGGATGAACTGGACAGAAGAGTGAAAGCCAAACAACCTACAAGTGCCACACATTTATGGGAACTTCTGCAACAGACTTGGGAAGAACTTTCTGAACAATATTTGATTTCTAACAAAAAAAACTGGTGTGATGTTCTAAAACTTTTGACCAGTATATGAACCAGCACTGTTTAATGACTGTCTGCATGTCCAATAACCAAAAACTTAAATTTAACTACCGGCATTCATAGATCTCGGACACATGATTCCTTCCTTATCTGAAGAACATTGTGAGGACTTTTCCACATTCAAAACATATAATATTTTGATATGGATTGTTTTATTGAGTACCATTGCCATGCCAGATCTGTCATTTTAAGCAGGTCATATTTATTTAAAACAATCAAAATGGAAAAAAAACTAAAATGTGGCTGTTTGCTGCAGGAGTTCCAATCAGTAGAGGATGCTCTTGTAGAGGACGCTCTTGGAAAAAGGATCAAAACTTTAGATATAATGAAATCCAGACACTCCAAAGAAGTAAAAGTCGCACAAGAAAAAGTATAGTTAAAAAGCCTTTATCTAGATTGCCAAAGCCAACATGTTTCGACCATCAAAATGGAAAATTCTTTACAGCGACTCAATAAAGTAATCCAAGCAGCACAACTATTGACACTCTGTTACTCAAGTTAACGCAATTTTAATCTGAGCTTTGTTTTAACACAATTTGACCAGAACGAACTGACTTGATTGGAACTACAACAGATGAACTGATTTGTGCTGTTATAAAAGTCCCTCTCAAATAACATTGACCCACAGTTTTTCAGTTAGTCACCGTCACCTTTTTTGTTGAAAAACAAGCACTTAAAGGTTGTATGGAGGATTTTTTTTGTTTCAAATTGTCAATGATAGCATTATAGAGATGCAGTAGCCTTGTAATTATGATGACCAAAAAAAAGAGAATAAAAATTCATCAACTCTGGACGTGGTGGGGCCAGCTAAACACTGCCTCGTTATCTGTTAGTTGACAGGCTGTCAATCAATCTCCCTACGTTTCTAGCGTAACTGACTTGCCTGCGCGCCGCCGGTACGTGGTTTACGTACGCCTGTCACGCAGTCCACAGACACAAGACGCACAGACGCTGTTTACTCCACCAACGCAACAGTTCTTAGCGGCTTTTTTTTACCTATATCTTCCTCGTAGTTAGCACAGAGTTTGTTGCGATGGCGACAAGAATCCAGGAGCAGTTAGCCGCAAAAGAAAGTCCGTTTTTGAGATTGCTGAAAGAAGAAGACAAGGGGAAAAGCAGCGAAGCCAAACTAAGGTGATTCTTGAAGATTCATTCCAGCGATGGCGCGACTGAAGCAGATGCAGGGTCTAAAGACTGACACACTGGTTGCCAAATTACTCCTGGACAGGAAACTTCTTCTTATTATGAAAACGTACTTTATTTCCAAGAGCTAGTCAAACGTTTTTCAGGACACGAAAGCGATGTCCTATGTCTGAAAACTTAATTTTCAAGGCAAAGAAAGAGTCCGCTTGCTGCTGCGTGTTGTAGCTAGTTCATTCGCACGGAATCTCCACGCAACCTTCTCTGCACCCCTTTCCTGCTCCTCTCCCCTCTGCCCGATCCGCTCTTCCCCCTGCTCCTCACTTCTCCGGACACGGAATCTCCGCGCACCGCTCCCCTCTCCTCTCTCCTCTCTCCGCTCTTCTCCCTGCTCCTCACTTCTCGTCCGCGCACGAAATGTCCGCGCACCCGCTCCCCCCGCTCCTCACTTCTCCGTCTTGCCTAACCAACACTGTAGTTAGTTGTTTACAAGTCATGTGCAGCGCACCGGCTGTAAACAAACCTGTTTCTGGCGTAAGGAGGAGGCGGGAGGAGGCGTTTCTACGGCGTTTCTACGTAGGGAGCTGTAGGGGAGGGGGGGTGATTTCACGCATGCGCAACATTTGAAAAAGGACAAACAGTCGCTGGATTTCTCGTTCCTTGGAAAATCCTCTATACAACCTTTAAACAGGACCATGAACGCTTGAATTGAGGCTCCTGAAAATGTGCTGTTTAAAAATCTTCTGAAAACTCAAGAAAAAATGCAAAATACCTGCCTCTTCCAATTGTCCAATGGAGATTTTCACCAAAGCACCTTTTAACGCAATAAATTCCAGATAGCAAGAACATATGCCTGCTATAAAAATCAACCCCCATTACTTTATATGACTATATTTTACACCTGTAGTACCACCATTTACTTGGCCTCTTTATTCTAGTTAAGGATTGGAACTACAACAAGTGAACTGATTTGTGCTGTTAAAAAGTCCCTCTCGAATAACATTGGCCAACAGTTTTTCAGTTAGTCACACTCACTTTTTTGTTGAAAATCAAACACTTCAACAGGACCATGAACACTCGTATTGAGACTCCTGAAAATACACCGTTTGAAGATCATCTGGAAACTCAAGAAAAAATACAAAATACAAAACTTTTTTTTGTGCCAGTGTTTGCTGATGTGTCACCTCAATATTTTACGATTAGAAATACACGTAGAACACCTTCAGCATGATGTCACTCCAAAGTATCAATATGATGTAAGTAGTTTTAGTTTTATGGCATTACACGCTTCAGTTTTATAGATTTATACAAGACCTGAGTTCATTCATAAAACCAATGAAATCAGCGTTTAGTTTGTGTGAATAAAATGTGTCAAATTATTTAAACCTTGAATACAAATTTATCATCCATTTTATTTCTTTTTAAGATGCCTATTCTAATTAGCTTGATTCATCAGCCAGCTTCACTTCATAGAAACGGTCTGACCTCGCAGCCTTAGATTTCGTTCACTCGACAGTAGGCAGGTACTTTTTTTATTTAAACAATCGCTGCTATTTGGTTGTAACGTATGTAGGAAGAAGGACAATAACGTCTTTCCCCTTGATAAAATTCACCAAACATTCTCTTTATTACAGCTTGAAATCCTCAATCTTCGGAATCATTGACAACACTGAATATATGTATCTTCACTGATTGACTGGTGTCCAATCTTGCACTTCTGGGGTTTTTGCGAACCGTCTACTGTATTTTGATTCTTGACCTAGCTGCTGGAGAGAAATGAAATTGAGGCACTAGGTGGCGCCAGCCTGGCTATCGTCTAGTAGCCCTATGGAGATTTTCACCAAGGCACCATTTAACACAATAAATTCCAGATACCGAGAACATAAGCGTGCTATAAAAATCAACCCCCATTACTTTATATGACTGTATTTTACACCTGTAGTACTACCTTTTACTTGGCCTCTTTATTATAGTTAAGGGGTTTGTCACATATTTTCATCTGTTTTGAGTCATTTTAGTTGTTAGAGCTTGGAGAATTGCCTTCGAACTCTTTAGACACCCCCCTGTACTACACATCGCGTTGGTTTAAAGTTCAATTAAGTCAGTCATTCCCTTTTTATTGTCTCCCAGGCCATTACACCGCTGCTAATTTGATTACTTCTTTATTAAGTAAGGCTAAAGCCACAGGAGCATAGGCTCACAGGCACAAGAGCGATGTTGTTTGTGGAAGTGGACCCCCGTTAGCTCCAGCCCCCCTCTGCGCCCGTCTAATATTTACTGCTCTGTTAGCTGCGCCGCCATCACCACCTCCCTTACTCTCTCTCGCTTTCTCCCTTACTTTCTTTTTTGTTTTAGTTTTAGTTTTTTTTTTGCATATTCTTTCTGTCACTCTTCTCTTGTTTTCTTATTTTTTCTTTCTTGTGCTCACCGTTTATTTCTCTTCCCCTTGTTCTCGCTCTTCTCCTTCTTTCTCCTTCCCTTTTTTTGTTCTTTCATTTGTTTCTGTCCTTTCTCTCTCCCCCTCTCTTTCTCTCTGTCTATCTTGTTCATTCTCTTTTTCTCCCATCTCCCATTTCTCT